CTGGTTTTGAATAGGTTAAGCTATGCACAATGATGTTAAATTGCTCAGATGTGAATCTTTACTGTGCTTAGGCCTACACACAGCAAATCAATGTTCAACGAAGTAAATTTCGTAATAAAATATTTACTATCATTTATAGGGATGGCTACAACAACAACAACAACAACAACTACTACTACTAGTACTACTACTACTACTACTACTACTACTACTACTATTACTACTACTACTACTACTACTACTACTACTACTACTACCACTACTACAGTTGCTGCTGCTACTACTACTATTACTGCTGCTACTACTACTTCTACTGGTGCTATTATTATGACTATTATTCTCTTCAAACCAGGATTAAGTCAGTTGGGACCTCTTTGCTTAAAATTGTTGTTTAAAAGAAAGGGGGTTGGTTGGGGGAGGGGGGAGCCCTAATGTTTGTTTCTTGGTGTCGAGGCCGCTTCCATGATTTTGTGTAGCAAGACATTAGACCTTGTTAAATGAAGATGGAGGACCATAAGAAAGAAACTAATCTCTCCCCCTCCATACTACACCCACCCCCTTTTTTGTACGACTTAAACAAACTGCCTTTGAATGGAGTTAAAACTCCCTAATCCAGGGAATTCATAGCCGACGAACCATTCAATAACCATCCAAACACGTCTTTACAAATACTGAAAGATCCGACATCTGACCGCGCTGTCCTTGCTTCATGTAATTACCACCTTTACTGTGTAGGCGGAGGGGTGGGTGTGGGCTAAGGGGTCTTCGAGCCCAAGGATTTAGAACTGAATGGCTAATACAGCGGGCCACAGACTGCGCTGGTTATGATTTTATGTTAGCCCTTGTGAGAGGCGGGGGTGGGGAAGCTACAATACAAAGTATTTGAACCTGGTTCTCTCGAATGGAAGACCAGCGCTCCTAATCCTTCTGTTAGTGGGTCCTCCTCGGAGCAAATTTGTGTGTTGTATATTTGAACTCCCAGAAAACGAAAAGAAGACAAATCTTGAGAAATGCATCGACCGAGAACACACGCTGATATACTAGAGTTGCAAGTGTTACATGATGTTTTATAAAAACCACAAGGAACAGACACATGTAATGTATGCGTAAGATTTATTGACTTGGTTTGGTTTGGTTTATACAACAGATTAACATCATAGCACAAGGGTAGTAAACCATAAGTGCTCCGTTCTGCTTCTAACTCAAGGTCCGAAGAATCTCAGCGCAATGCATGAACTCCCTAGCACCGGCCAGGGTCCTGAAATACTTTTGTTATATTTTTAACTTAAAATGTTGCCCGGGTAGCGCCGTTATGCTACTCTTTTCCATTTCCAACTGCCAAGGGATTTTTTTTTAAAGTACGCACGCATATGGACGTCCGATCTTACTACCCAGAGACAAAGGAAAATTACTAAGTCCACATGAAAAATCCCAGATCCTTCACCTGGGCCTGAAGCCGGGACCTCAAGCACTCGAGTCAGACGCCATGCCTCCAAACCATTCATATCCCCCTCCACCACACCACAAATGATTTATTGACAAGAGAGACAAAGGAAGAGATGCCACTAGAAAACTAAAACGTTTAATGAATCAAACGACTGTGAAGGTTGACCTCAGTTATCTGATCAAACAGGAGATCCAAGAAACCCTTGCCGAAGTCAATCCAGTTTTGCTCCCGGCTTATTCGCCTCTTGCCGGTGATAACCTGTCTGACGGTAGCCGGTGTCTGAACCATCCTTGACCTTCCACTCTTTATTGGCTTTCCCTTTGACACCATTCATTAGTGACACACATGTGTTGCCCTGTCCTGTGTCCGGGCAAGTCTAGACTTCACTGATGTAAGTTTCAATAGTATGCCATGGTCCAGGCTCAGGCTGTAGTCTCGTGTGCAACCAAAAAGCACTTTTGCATCTTTTTTATTAGTAGCCAAATATACAGCAAAGTCGAGATGTTTAAAATATTAGCTCCTGGACTTAATTCTTCGTCTTCTTCTTTCTTCTTCTTCTTCTTCTTCTTCTTCTTCTTCTTCTTCTTCTTCTTCTTCTTCTTCTTCTTCTTCTTCTTCTTCTTCTTCTTCTTCTTCTTCTTCACTAGCTGTAAACTCCTGCGGAAAGTTCTGTTTGTTTGTCCACCTCTGGACTTAAGTCTTATTCCAGAACCTGAGTGTTGCGTGCAAGTCCGTTTAACTGATCTGACTTACTTTTATGCAGATTGTTAGTTCCTTGCCTCTCAGGCAGATGCACCCCAACTTTCAAAGAAGTCCCCAATTAGTCGAATCTTACGACATGCTGTGGGGGAGGTTGTGAGTCTATTCTAGTTCTTCCCAACAATGGGACCCCGGAACGACACGGGTGTATTAATAATTCAAGGCCGGAACAATAGGACACCCAATCTCCGTTCCACATGAGTAGGCAGCAAAGTCTTCAATAATGCTAGAGGCAACATTTTGGAAAGTGTGCCCTGTATCAGTGTTCTTCAACCGGCGCTCCGCGAAAAAGTTGAGGCGGGCCGGTAACATGCCTGCTCAATCATGTAACGCCTAGTTATTGTAGTTTTTGTCTTGTAGGATTGCATGCTGTGAGAGACCACCTCAGTGATGAGAATCACACAGGTATATACCCCGAAAATCCCGTTCAAATTTATAAAACAGTTATATAGAAAATATATGTCAGGAGAGCCGCGAAACGATTTCTTGTTAGTGGGCCGCGTGTGTAAAAAAAAGGTTGAGAAACACTGCCCTACACGATACTGTAACTTCAGGTAACAGAAATTATTTGTAGGATACTGTAACTGTAGCAGACTATCTTAAAAACCACCGGCCTGTGTTCAACGTAAAGACCCCTCCCCCATCCCCAGCATCTCACGTGTCTACCAAGCATGTTTTTAACAATAGTTGTCAGTGAATACTGAAACAACATACTGGCCTCTCCCAATGTCACTATTTGTTTTCACATTATGTGTGTTTTACTGTTTAACGTGTGGCACCTGCAAGTGTCCACCAGCTGTTTACTTTGTACCAAGTCGTAAAATGTCAGCGGTTATTCCCTACTGCAGTACATTAGCTGCTGTGTTGTTCCATGTAGTGATACATCAAAAGTTCGGTTGTCTTATGTAATGATACATTAGCTGTTGTGTTGTTCCATGTAGTGATACATCAAAAGTTCGGTTGTCTTATGTAATGATACATTAGCTGTTGTGTTGTTCCATGTAGTGATACATCAAAAGTTCGGTTGTCTTATGTAATGATACATTAGCTGCTGTGTTGTTCCATGTAGTGATACATCAAAAGTTCGGTTGTCTTATGTAATGATACATTAGCTGCTGTGTTGTTCCATGTAGTGATACATCAAACGTTCGGTTGTTCTAGGTAGTGACGATACATTAGCTGTTGTGTTGTTCCATGTATTGATACATCAGACGTTCGGTTGTTCTAGGTAGTGATGATACATTAGCTGCTGTGTTGTTCCATGTAGTGATACATCAGACGTTCGGTTGTTCTAGGTAGTGATGATACATTAGCTGTTGTGTTGTTCCATGTATTGATACATCAGACGTTCGGTTGTTCTAGGTAGTGATGATACATTAGCTGTTGTGTTGTCCCATGTACGATACATCAAACGTTCGGTTGTCTTATGTAATGATACATTAGCTGCTGTGTTGTTCCATGTAGTGATACCAAAAAAAAAAAAAAAAAACGTTCGGTTGCTCTAAGTAGTGATGATAAATTAGCTGTTGTGTTGTTCCATTTACGATTCATCAAACGTTCGGTTGTTCTATGTAGTGATATACATTAGCTGTTGTGTTGTTCCATGTAGTGATACATCAAACGTTCTGTTGTTTTAGGTATTGATGATACATTAGCTCTTGTGTTGTCCCATGTACGATACATCAAACGTTCTGTTGTTTTAGGTATTGATGATACATTAGCTGTTTTGTTGTTCCATGTAGTGATACATCAAACGTTCGGTTGTCCTATGTAATGATACATTAACTGCTGTGTTGTTCCATGTAGTGATACATCAGACGTTCGGTTGCTCTAAGTAGTGATGATACATTAGCTGTTGTGTTGTTCCATGTACGATACATCAAACGTTCGGTTGTCCTATGTAATGATACATTAGCTGCTGTGTTGTTCCATGTAGTGATACATCAGACGTTCTGTTGTTTTAGGTATTGGTGATACATTAGTTGTTGTGTTGTCCCATGTACGATACATCAAACGTTCGGTTGTGATACATAAGCCGTATGTTTGTTCCATGTAGTGATACATCAAGCGTTAGGTTGTACTATTTCACGTCCACTGTAGATTCTCAGAAGATAGGTCTAACTACTTGAGGTCTAACTACTTGGGTCATGATTACCAGGTGTCTTTCCCCTGTTGTTCACCTGTGTGCCAGCTTCAGTCCGTGTTCTCGATTAATTACGTTCATTCTCCTCCTAAAAGTGAAAGGGTTCTATATATTGACTACAGCGGCGGGTGCTAATACAACAACCATTGGAGCGACAAGGCTAACAACGTTGTCAGGCCAAAATTGTTCTACATTGTTCTCCGTCTCTTTGTGTGAAACAAAACACTATAGGGTGAAAGGTCAGTCTAAAAAGCGAAAGTAGACAACCTTGACATTTAAAAGCTGCAAGACGATTGGTTGTCAGGAGCCGACACCGTGACCCCGGAGCGCGAGCTATTATGTAAATGAGCCGCTGGCTGACAGAAATCAGCTGTTTTGTGTATCCCGGACTGCCGCTGCCGACTATATAAGACCTACATCCCACCTGCTGCTGCTTAAAGTAAAGCACTGCTGAGAAATAAAATACGAAATGTAGAATTGCACTAGGAGACATCCAAGAGCGCCGAGGTAATCTCCAGGACACACCTCCAGATTATTTCCGCACTGATAGAATCAGCTGATAGTCCGCTGCCTGCCTGCCTGCTGTCGGCTTGGCTGGGATTGTGAGCTCCATTAAACCCATCTTCATTCGCAAACCGTCTCCAGATTACCATGAAGTCCCTCTTGGAAACGTCCAGGCCCAGTTCGGACTACTCTGTGATCTTAGGAAGTGATTTTCTTCACGAACAAATGCGGTCGAAATTAGGTAAGCAGTTAGACATAGCTGTGCATATTTGTGAGGTTAGGCGAAGCTGGCCCATGTAGTCTCAGTGGAAGCAATGAGACACCTTTGTTGGTTGTGACTACTGACTACATTAGAACAGTATCGTCTTCTCTTTACATATATAATGCTAATGCATCGGTCTCAGAAATTTATGTTGTGTTTCTTTTAAATTAAAAAAAAACGAAGCATGTATGTGATTAGTAAGTAATACTACTAATACTTAGGCATTCTTTAAAGAGCAATATTATGCAGGCTGAGATAGTCGGTTTGCAGTGAAGAATGGTAACTAAAAGTAAAGAATGCTGATTGCTGAAGGAAAGGTTCAAGCAGTAAACATTTAACAACTTCTGGTCACTTACCTCCTTAGTCAGGTAATAAATAATCACGCGAGATGTTTTAAAGACATGAACAACGAAATAATAGTTCTTAACTCTTTCAATCCCAGTTGAGTAAATCCAAGCTGAGGCCTGATTGAAACGAGGACAGCAAAAGCATAGGTGTGCTGGATCCACAGGATTCACTACACAACACATTGTTGGTGACTTTGGTTTCTGGATTGATTTAGTTTGCCTGACTTAACTTCAGATGTACAAATATACAATATATGTTGATTGGTGTACATGAGTGATATCCAGTGTACATGGTGCTTTGTTTAGGACTAACAGAGTTGAGACAATGCTAATGATGATCTCATTGATAACCATCAGTACAATACTATATAGTTAACATTTAGTTTGTAGTAAACACTGGCCTAGCGCAAAGCTTCACAACAATGCTACTGAGTTATTTCCTTTGGGTGATGCAAATAATTATTGATTTTTCAAGGGATTTGAGATGGACTTCATTAGTAATCATTTAAATAGCTGACCAGATTAAACTGAAATCTTAAAACAGTTCAAATATGAGTTTGAAGGCTAGGTATAATATCTTTAGCACCCATTGGTTGTTATAAAAATCTTCCCGTCCTGTGCTGGTCTTTAAACTCTGTAGCTGCCAAGCTCATAGTAGGTTACAGTGTTAGCATTGTAAGCTTCCATTCTGGACCTCAAACAGTATGATTAGAATTGTTCTTTATTGGCTGCAAAATATGAGGGACAGAGTACTGTTGGGATTACCCTGAGGACTATGATGTTGGTTCTCAACTCATGTGAACTCAACAAGGACATAAGTAACAGACAAAGCTCTTGTTTGTTACTGCAGTTACATTCCATTAAAAATTACTTGTAGTTGTTGCTGAAAAGCATAAATTCTTCTCCCATTGCCCTTTATCCCACAATAGAGCATAGGCCGTTAACTAACTAATGTCATGTTGTCCTAACCTTTACTGTCACATCTAGCTCAACCCATACCCTTCCCATCTCATCAACTTCTTTCCATTTCCCTTCTCATAAAAAAGTTACTTATTGATTTTCACTGCCTTTTTGTTGTAAAATTGGCATTGGTGGTAATGGCAGATATAATTATTATTTTCAGATGAGAATGATCCAAACATGAACTGCTACTCTGACTTCTCCGAGATGTTTGATGCTCAGACATGCCAGGATGTACAGGCAGAGATAGAGGCAGCAATTCAAGAAGCTGCAGACAAGAAGATCTGTTCTCAGATGATCTATCCACCAGACTTAGTGTCTCGTATTACAAGTGATGTTCTTCGCTTGTCTGTTTCGGAACCCTGTGGACTTCGTGGTTGTGCAATCTACATGATTCTTCAAGAAAAAGACAGGGCCTTTAAACTTGGTACCATATTTGGCAACCCCTTAGCACCACCTACCTTTGAAATTCATCTTACTCTTAAAGAAGATGACCGAAGCTGGAAGAAGTTACAGAAAGTATATTATACAATTCGTGGCTGTCTTCTTAATTCACAGTGGTCTGCTATGCCGAAGATACTTTGTTCTTCTTATCATTTGGAAAAAAGAAGACTGTACCGCAGATCTGACAGTGTGGATTCGGTGAACACATAAATTTAACAAATATGTCATAGTATTAACAAATATTATATTGAATATGTTATAGTAACTGAAATAAGAAGTGGTCTTTTTTTTTTTTTAAACTTTGGTATGTTTTGTTAACAAAATAGAATTAAAACTTCCTATTTTGTTCGTGTTTAAAGATTACATTTTTTCTGCTTGCTAACCATTTTGTCATGACTCTGTATTAAAGTATTCTCAGTGTTGTTCATGCCACTTTCAGTGGCACAAAATGTGGCATAAAATAACAGAAACAACTTATGTTGACATATACTGTCTTTTTATTCAAATTTGCAGATATGTGGATTAAATTACATTTTTTAAATACTGTTTTCTGGGTGCCAATTATAAATTAACATTTCAGTAAGAGCTGTGGTTTAAATTATCTAACACCTAGTTTAATGCCACTGACAGACTATGTATTGTAAGCATTTTCATTGCAGTTTTGAAAATACATTTTGAGATTCTGTTTAACTGGCATGAATTGTAAAGAGAACAACCTTTTTAGATCAGGGTTAACAATTATGTAAATCAATTTAATTATAAATACAGAGACAAAAATATACAAAATCAGAAACATTATAACATGTGGGCGACCTTCATGCCTCATCAAGTGGCATACAGTGTACAAGGAGTCAGGAAAAGATATTTATAATAATAATCAACGTACATAAATGTCAGTTGTGTACACAATAATATGTTATATAATAGTTAAATGTTTTCTTTCCAATTTTAGCATACGAGAAAATATAATTTGTACTTGAAGCAGATTAATCAAATCTAACAGTACTGGCAATTTGTATTTTGTTTAACTTGGATTTCGATTCAGTATTTTTCTATGTAACCGTGTTTGACGAGCTCGCTCATCAAAGTTTTATCATAAGCTATATTTTGCATTTGACAATGAAACAAGTGTGCCATAGAAGGACAAAACATAATTTTTAAAGTTGGTGTAGATTATCTGGTAATCTCTTTGTACAGAAGACCTACTGTGATATCACCAATGACTCAAACAGTATGACAGGATGTGAGGTATGTGTGTTCTTGCCAGGTGGTGCGTTTTCTTATCAGTGTCATTGTACATTATATTTTGCAGAATCTCATTGAAGTTGAAGACGTGCGGACACTGGGATTCCTTAAAGGCTTGGTTGAGTGTGTGTTTGTGTGGAACGTTTTTAACTGGAACTCCATTTCTTACAGTTAAAAGATTACAGATAAAGGTAGTTGTGAGATAGATAATGCTGTGTGGGTATTGAGTGATGTGGCTTTGAAACTTGAGGTAGTGCAGTCATTATCTCTTCTTCATCACTTGACCTCATCAGGTACCCAGGTTTTGAGGCAATATCATGAAAAAGTGTCAGTCCTGTCAAGAAGTAAAGTCAGCTTTACAGTACCATAAATCACAAAGAGACATTAATACTAATATATAAAAATATACATATAACTTATCTTTATGGTGAGACATGTCATAAAATATCAATCATGTTTGAATAATAGAAACTTGGAGGCAAAGTGAACACTAGAATTATGCTTAAGAAAACAAATCTATCCCTATCATTGAATTTAGACTTAAATTATGTGCAGATAAGACAGTGACAATCCACTCTGGTAGTTTGGCTTTTTGTTAGTGAGCCTTGCTGGTTATTGTCTTCTTATATTTTATTTTGCCAAATTTAAAAAATGTTAACTTAAATACACTTGTTCCGGAAATCTGGTTTTACCAGACATATTTCTGATATGATTTCATAAATATATAAAATTTATGTAATTATATATTGTAACAATTCTGATCATTTGCTTCTCTTGAATGGTCACATTTGTGTTATTACTATCAATGTTTAGTTTCTATTACCTCTTAAGTCTTTTACAGAATATACTTCCTTTATAATATATCAATTTCATGCTTATCAGTCATATGTGCCAGTTCTTTAACCCTTTGGAGATGACTCGGCTGATCTGTCGGCCAAAGAGCAAAAAGGCTAAAACGATGAATGGACTGATCCGTCAGCCCGATAATACAAGCTTTGAGATTGGCTTGCAGGATTGCATACCAGCAGATAATCAGATTGCTTCTCACATTTTGTGCATGTATTGGCTGTTCAGTGGCAGCTTTCTTGAAAGTTTGTTGTGTGCTGTAATTTTACATGATTCTTTTTGGGTGTACCTGTGCTCAACAGTGGTGAAAAGGACTGTTGCGTCATGGCAACCAAAATATAGCAACAGGCCCCCCCCCCCCCCCCCCCAAAAAAAAATGAGTAGAACCATGTGACAGAGGTGTCTGTAGGGCCTACATGGGTATTGCTGCCTAAGATACAAGTGTTAGGACTTATTCAAGCTACATTCATCAGAAAATTTAAATTTTTCACTTTAATCATGTTTTTCCTAAGTAACTAAAAAACAAAATGCAAAAAAAAAAAAAATACACATCAAAAAAGCTAATTTGAATAAATGTTGAGACCTCAGTGTGATTCGTAGGAATTGTAATAGTTCATTCAAATTCCCACAAGAAGAATATATATATATATATATGGTTTAATGTATCTTAAATAAACACTTTATTATAATTTTGTGTGTGTAAATTAAGAGAATTCCCCCCCCCTCCCCCCCCCCCAACCAAGGCCCCATCTTCTTGGCACGTCTCCAAAGGGTTAATGCAATAATTTCCTCTCTTGTAGTTTTGTTCTATTATGTTTTAGATGTTTCTTTTTTTTTTAGTCCGTCATCTATACCTTGAGTGGAGAGGTACCTTGTGGTCTTATTCAGTTTTTTTTCTTGAGTGATGAGGTGTCTTGATTTAGTTTGATATATACGAACAAGCCAGTTCTGCATTTCTGCTGCATTGACAGATATAATTCAGTTCAGATATTAATCATGAACTTTTCAAACATAACACATTAAGCATGAAATATTTCAAATGAAATAGTTTCTTTAAAGAAATTATAACTTTTTGACTTACCGTTTTATTATTGCTTTTCACGTTACTTTTGATAGCTTTTTAATTTTTTTCTAATGTCAAGGAATTCTTGTCTTCTACTTATGGTACTCTGCAGGCCTTGGTTTAGCAAACTAAACCGTATGCAGGCAATGATGTCAAAAAATGTTATAAAATACTTTAGGGTTTTTCTGTGGCTCAGAGCTAAAGAGAGAATGCGAAAGCCATCTAAAAATTGTAATTAGAAATGGTATTCTCTGAGATCTTATTTCATTCAAATTCTGTTTTTCTAATTTCTAGTTAAGAACTATTATTATTCCATAAATTAAAAAGTAAACAATTTTTTTTTTTTCTTGTGTTGTATAGATCATATGTATTTAGTTTGATCTGATGCATCATTGCAAATGTTGTAAAAAAAAATTAATATATTTTTTAATTTGATATGATCTAAAACAAAGGTTTAGAGTAGTCAAACAATTTGCCCCAAGCACCATTGATCCAGATAATAAATACAGAATGTAACCAGAAGGCTTGACAGAAGAAAAGACACGTAAAGCAAGTAAACATTTTAACCAATATCTTTAAAAAGTAGCAAGAAAAAGAAGATGTTCACATGAAAAGAACGGCATAAGAGTGAAAAATATTGACTCTATTGGGATGATAGTACCTAATGAGATAATTTTCATAAAATAAAAAAAAATTATGTGATCACCAAAGAAGCTACATGTTGTTAGGACAGTGACAGAGATCTCTACTTCACATAGAGGGTTGGGCTGTTGAAAGGGATGAGAGACTGATTAAGGAACCTCCTTTGTATGTCCCTATGACAGGGCTAGTCAACTGCCAGTCAGTGGGCCAGTTTCAGCCTGCAGAGGCTTAGTAAGTGGTCCACGGATCACTGTAATGTATAAATGATCTTTCTGTGCTGGGTCGTAGGCCACTGTCATATAACGATGAACATAAATATTCAGTGAACTGTGTTTCACCGACATTCTGTGTTACATGTTCTATCTTAAGCAATCAAAAACATTTTCATATTCAGTTTCACTATTAAATTACCTTCATTGTCTCATTTTGCAATGTTTTTACTTTGATAACTGTTTCTATACTTCTTTAAAAAATATTTTGTTCTTAGCGTCAGTGTAGTAGAAATTTTTAAAAAGTTATGGCAAATATTGACACGATACTGGGTTACTTTAACAATTGTTGATCTGACAGTGTGAACATTAACATGAAAGAGTGATCTATGACATGCACTGACCTGAGAGTGATTTCAGACAAATCACTGACATAACTATGTGTGCTTTGACAAACACTGACATGACAATGAGAGCTCTAAAAAACACTGATGCTGCATCTACCTTATATACTTGAGAAAAAGAAGAAGAAAAAAACAGTTTATCTGATATTGTGTAGAAGCAAGTTTGACATATTTGACTACAGATATAATCATAATACTGTGTTCATATTCTTGGTCAGTTTCAGATCATTATTTGTAAAATAGTCACATTTATTACCATTTTTATCTTTTTTTTTAAATAACTACCAGCAAACTTTTATTTGTTAGTGATGCATACATATTATCATTATGTCTATGTTAGTGATAAATGCTAGAACAATTTTTCTATGTTAGTGATAGATATAAAAATTTCCTGTGTTAGTGATAAATAACAGTTTTATATATTAGTTATAAATGCTAAAACAATTTTCATATTAGCAATAAGTACTGTAAAACATTTTCTTTGTTAGCGATAAATGTTATAACAATTTGTCTGTGCTATTGATAAATGCTTTAAAAAATTTGCTCTGTTAGTGATAAATTCTATACCAGTTTTCAGTGCTAGAGATAATTGCTATAACAATGTTTTATGTTAGAGATAAAAGGTATGACAATTTTTCTATGTTAGTGATAACCATTTCCTGATCTCCCTGTCTGTGAAACTGTTGACCTCACATGTACAGTTTGTACAGAGACTGTAAATAAACATTTGATATCTAGTCATATCAAGTTGTCTGTTATCATTTTGTGCGATGTGGAAAGTATGCAGAGAACATTAACGAA